ATAACACTTGATATTTTAAAAAACAGTAATAAATATATGTAACTAATCTTCCAGTGTATATGTAGGAAATGGTTTGAAACAAGCAGTTCTTTCTTGCTCACTAAAGCAAACAAAGCTCTCCTGTCAGTTATGAAGTCTAACAAAATCCATCAATCAATACAAGGTTACTCCCAGAACTATACTGGGTGTTATAGAGAATTATAAGAAAAACACAAGACCAAGTTTCTTCCCTAACTTATGATCTGTTTGATGAAAGAAAATGATCATGAGTAAAGCCTGCAGAACAAAATGCTAGAACATGACGTCAAAGACAAGCTGTACACGCTGGACGAGTTCAGAGAATAAAATCTGCATGAAACTCCCACAGGGAAGTGATTCAAATCTGCCTAGAGTAAGGACTTGAACCAGACCTCAGAGGTAGGAAAGGCGAGGGGTGCATGCATACACTCTTCAGTATTATATGACAGTGATTTAGAAGGAACAGACACTGGAGCCTCAGAGAATACTTGTTGATGCAATTCAGCAAAGAGGAAATGAAGGCCTGAAGTTAGATGATAAAAGATGTCAGAGGAAGGAAAGCCAGCAAGGTCACCAACAGGAGCAGAAATGACAAGGCAGGAAGCAACTTAGAAACATTTTCTGAGCAGCCACTAACACACCAGCTCTGTTCTAGGAGTTGACACTATAGCAGTGAACCAGTCAAACAAGATGCTAGGTCTCTTTAGGGTCTATACTCTGTTTTAAATTTTTTTTTAGTTGTAGATGGACACAATACCTTTATTTTGGTGGTGCTGAGGATCAAACCCAGTTCTTCACACGTGCTAGGCAAGCACTCTACCACTGAGCCATAACCACAGCCCCTGGGGGGTCTATATTTGATAGGGTAAGAAAATACCCAGGGAAATAAAATAATTTCAAATGGTGATAAGTGTTTTGAGAGAAGTAAACACATTAACGTGCAGGCTGGCTGCAGGAGCCGAGCCGAGGTGAGTATCAGTGGGAGATCTGTTCCAGGCAGGGAGGAGTTAATGCAGAGACCCTCAACCCAGTGTGTTTAGAGACAGCAAGAAGGCCCACGGTGTTGCTGGTTGGGAGAGGATGGCAGAGTGTTTATTAGGGGTCACTTTCCTGTAGACTTTTTGAAGCCAGGCTGAGTGTGGATTTTATTCCAGGTCAAATAAAAAGTTAAGGAAGGTTGGGAACCACGAAATAACCTGATCTGATGAATGCTTTAAAAGATAAAA